CTTCTCGCTGTCGGACCTGGCGCCGGGCCGGGCTGGGAAATGGGGATGGAAAATGTGGGAAAGGGTTGGAAAAGTGGGTGAAAAACTTGGGAAAAGTGGGGGAAAAACGTGGGGAAAAAGGGATGGGAAAGGGGCTGGGAAATAGGGAAAAAAGGGCCAAAAGGCATGGGAAAAAATGGAAAAATGGTGGGGAAAATTTGGAAAATTTGAGAAAAAAGCAGAAAAATATGGGAAAGAACCCAAAGACATGGGAAAAGTGGGTGAAAACCTTGGGAAAAGTGGGTGAAAACCTTGGGAAAAGTGCGTGAAAAACTTGGGAAAAAGGGATGGAAAAGGGGCTGGGAAATAGGGAAAGAAGGGCCAAAAGGCATGGGAAAAAATGGAAAAATGGTGGGGAAAACCCCAAAAAATTGGGAAAAAATTGGAAAAAAACCCCAAAAAATTGGGAAAAATCCGCAAAAATTGGGAAAATGGCCCAAAATTGGGACGAGCCAGATCCCCGCTGTCATTGCAGGATGATCCCGGCGCCCAGCGCGTCCTTCTCCCTGTCGGACCTGGCGCCGGGCCGGGCTGGGAAATGTGGGAAAGGGGTTGGAAAAGTGGGTGAAAAACTTGGGAAAAGTGGGTGAAAACCTTGGGAAAAGTGGGGGAAAAACGTGGGGAAAAAAGGATGGAATAGGGGCTGGGAAATAGGGAAAAAAGGGCCAAAAGGCATGGGAAAAAATGGAAAAATGGCAGGGAAAATGGTGGAAAAATTGGGAAAAAAGCAGAAAAATATGGGAAAGAATCCAAAGACATGGGAAAAATGGGTGAAAAACTTGGGAAAAGTGGGGGAAAAACATGGGAAAAAGGGATGGAGAAGGGGCTGGGAAATAGGGAAAAAAGGGTGAAAAATTGTGAGAAAAAAATGAAAAATGGTGGGGAAAATGGGGAAAAAGCAGAAAAATACGGGAAAGAATCCAAAGACATGGGATGAATGGGTGAAAATTTTGGGAAAAAAGGGATGGAATAGGGGCTGAAAAATAGGGAGAAAAGGGCCAAAACTTGTGAGAAAAAATGGAAAAATGGTTGTAAAAATGGTGGAAAAATTGGGAAAAATCCCCCAAAATTGGGAAAAAATCCCCGAAAATTGGGAAAATGACCCAAAATTGGGACGAGCCAGATCCCCGCTGTCGTTGCAGGATGATCCCGGCGCCCAGCGCGTCCTTCTCGCTGTCGGACCTGGCGCCGGGCCGGGCTGGGAAACGGGGATGGAAAATGTGGGAAAGGGTTGGAAAAGTGGGTGAAAACCTTGGGAAAAGTGGGTGAAAAACTTGGGAAAAGTGGGTGAAAACCTTGGGAAAAGTGGGGGAAAAACGTGGGGAAAAAGGGATGGAATAGGGGCTGAAAAATAGGGGGAAAAGGGCCAAAAGTCATGGGAAAAAATGGAAAAATGGTGGGGAAAACCCCAAAAAATTGGGAAAAAATTGGGAAAAAAACCCGAAAAATTGGGAAAAATCCCCGAAAATTGGGAAAATGGCCCAAAACTGGGACAAGCCAGGATTGTGTTCCCGTTGCAGGATGATCCCGGCGCCCAGCGCGTCCTTCTCGCTGTCGGACCTGGCGCCGGGCCGGGCTGGGAAATGTGGGAAAGGGGTTGGAAAAGTGGGTGAAAAACTTGGGAAAAGTGGGTGAAAAACTTGGGAAAAGTGGGGGAAAAACTTGGGAAAAAGGGATGGGAAAGGGGCTGAAAAATAGGGGGGAAAGGGCAAAAAATCATGAGAAAAAATGGAAAAATGGTCGTAAAAATGGTAGAAAAATTGGGAAAAAATCCCCGAAAATTGGGCAAATGACCCAAAATTGGGACGAGCCAGATCCCCGTTGTCGTTGCAGGATGATCCCGGCGCCCAGCGCGTCCTTCTCGCTGTCGGACCTGGCGCCGGGCCGGGCTGGGAAATGGGGATGGAAAATGTGGGAAAGGGTTGGAAAAGTGGGTGAAAAACTTGGGAAAAAGGGATGGGAAAGGGGCTGAAAAATAGGGGGGAAAGGGCAAAAGACCATGGGAAAAAATGGAAAAATGGTGGGGAAAATGGGGAAAAAGCAGAAAAGTCTGGGAAAGAATCCAAAGACATGGGAAAAGTGGGTGAAAAACTTGGGAAAAGTGGGTGAAAACCTTGGGAAAAGTGGGTGAAAAACTTGGGAAAAAGGGATGGGATAGGGGCTGAAAAATAGGGGAAAAAGGGCCAAAAGGAATGGGAAAAAATGGAAAAATGGCCAAAAGGCATGGGAAAAAATGGAAAAATGGCAGGGAAAATGGTGGAAAAATTGGGAAAAAATCCCCGAAAATTGGGAAAATCACCCAAAATTGGGACGAGCCAGATCCCCGCTGTCGTTGCAGGATGATCCCGGCGCCCAGCGCGTCCTTCTCGCTGTCGGACCTGGCGCTGGGCCGGGCTGGGAAATGTGGGAAAGGGGTTGGAAAAGTGGGTGAAAACCTTGGGAAAAGTGGGTGAAAAACGTGGGAAATTGGGTGAAAAACTTGGGAAAAGTGGGTGAAAAACTTGGGAAAAGTGGGTGAAAAACTTGGGAAAAATGGATGGAATAGGGGCTGGGAAATAGGGAAAGAAGGGCCAAAAGGCATGGGAAAAAATGGAAAAATGGCAGGGAAAATGGTAGAAAAATTGGGAAAAATCCCCCAAAATTGGGAAAAAATCCCCAAAAATTGGGAAAATGGCCCAAAATTGGTACGAGCCAGATCCCCGCTGTCGTTGCAGGATGATCCCGGCGCCCAGCGCGTCCTTCTCACTGTCGGACCTGGCGCCGGGCCGGGCTGGGAAATGTGGGAAAGGGGTTGGAAAAGTGGGTGAAAAATTTGGGAAAAATGGATGGAATAGGGGCTGGGAAATAGGGAAAGAAGGGCCAAATGGCATGGGAAAAAATGGAAAAATGGTGGGGAAAACCCCAAAAAATTGGGAAAAAATTGGGAAAAAAACCCGAAAAATTGGGGAAAATCCCCGAAAATTGGGAAAATGACCCAAAATTGGGACGAGCCAGGATTGTTTTCCCGTTGCAGGATGATCCCGGCGCCCAGCGCGTCCTTCTCGCTGTCGGACCTGGCGCCGGGCCAGGCTGGGAAATGGGGATGGAAAATGTGGGAAAGGGTTGGAAAAGTGGGTGAAAAACTTGGGAAAAAGGGATGGGAAAGGGGCTGAAAAATAGGGAAAGAAGGGCCAAAAGGCATGTGAAAAAATGGAGAAATGGCTGGGAAAATGGTAGAAAAATCGGGAAAAATCTGCAAAAATTGGGAAAAATCCCCAAAAATTGGGAAAATGGCCCAAAATTGGTACGAGCCAGATCCCCGTTGTCGTTGCAGGATGATCCCGGCGCCCAGCGCGTCCTTCTCGCTGTCGGACCTGGCGCCGGGCCGCGCCTACGAGCTGTGCGTGCTGGCCGTGTTCCGCGACGCGCGCAGCGCGCTGCCGGCCTCGCGCCCGCTGGGCTGCCGCCGCTTCCGCACGCGGCCGCCGGCGCGGCCGTGCCGCTCGGCGCCGCCGCGCGTGCCGGGCGCCACCGTCATCATCGGCCTGGGCGGCGTCATCGCCGCCTCCGTGCTCGCCTTCATCGTGGTGCTGCTGCTGCGGCACAAGGCGCGCGCCGCGCCGCCCAAGGGCGCCCGCCACGTCTGCTCGCAGACCAACGGCGCCGCGCTCCGACGGTCCGCGTCCAAGGCTGAGGCCACGGAGAGGACGGAGGCGACGGGATGGGCTGGGGAGGGAGCTGAGGTGGGGTCCTGATGGGGATGGGGATCATGGAGAGCCTGGAGAGCCTGGAGATCATGGAGAGCCTGGAGATCCTGGAGATCATGGAGAGCCTGGAGATCATGGAGAGCCTGGAGAGCCTGGAGATCATGGAGAGCCTGGAGAGCCTGGAGAGCCTGGAGATCATGGAGAGCCTGGAGAGCCTGGAGATCATGGAGAGCCTGGAGAGCCTGGAGATCATGGAGATCCTGGAGATCATGGAGATCATGGAGAGCCTGGAGATCCTGGAGATCCAGAACTGGGCCTGGAGATCCTGGAGATCATGGAGAGCCTGGAGATCCTGGAAAGCCTGGAGAGCCTGGAGATCATGGAGAACCTGGAGAGCCTGGAGAGCCTGGAGATCCTGGAGAGCCTGGAGATCATGGAGAGCCTGGACAGCCTGGACAGCCTGGACAGCCTGGAGATCATGGAGATCATGGAGATCCAGAACTGAGCCTGGAGAACCTGGAGAGCCTGGAGATCCTGGAGATCATGGAGATCCTGGAGATCATGGAGACCCTGGAGATCATGGAGATCATGGACAGCCTGGACAGCCTGGAGATCCAGAACTGGGCCTGGAGATCCTGGAGATCCAGAACTGGGCCTGGAGTGGGCCTGGAGATCCAGAATTGGGCCTGGAGAGCCTGGAGATCCAGAATTGGGCCTGGAGATCCTGGAGTGGGCCTGGAGATCCAGAATGGGTCCTGGATTTGTTCTGGAGGTCCTTGAGATCCAGAATTGGTCCTGGGTCGGTTCTGAAGATCCAAAATTGGTTCTGGATGTCCTGGTTTTGTCCTGGATTGGTCCAGATTTGGTCCTGGATTGGACCTGGATTGGTTCTGGAGGTCCTGGAGTGGTCCTGGATTGGTCCAGATTTGGTCTTGGATTGGTCCTGGAGTGGTCCTGGAGCTCCTGGATTGGTCCAGGATCGG